CTTACTTTTTTTAGTATGTAATTAATAATTTTGGCGGAATACTCTTTCTAAAAATAATTTAACTTTATTCTTATTTTATATAGATTGATTTGTTTCTATGTTTGCTATTTTTTTTAAGGGAAAAATGTCCATTGTGTGTGCGCGAGTCTATATACGCACATATTTAGACATGTAAATATACACTCACATATTTAGACATGTAAATATACACTAGTACAATACCCGCGTATTATACGGGTGTTGAATTAGAAAGCTTTTGTAATAAATATTAAATTTTTTATTTTGTTAAATATAAAACATTACTTTGGGTTTTAATTAAATTGTCAAATTATATTTTTTTAATCATAATAATTAAACACCCGTACATTAAATGAAATGTCAACCCGTGTTGAATTTTTTTACTTATATCATATAAAAATATCGATATTATTTACTATTACATGAGTACAAACATATATATTTTAAATAAATAGAAACAATATGGTGAGATGTATATGCATAAGTGTAGAATATGTTTATTTAATATTAAGTAAAATAGATCAATTTTTTTATTTAATTAGATGCCTAATACATCAAGTGTCGTATATATGTAATTTTAGAATTTAGATAAATAATTATTTATTTTTATTAGATTGACAACATACCAATTAGATTTGAAATGAATATCATTTTTAAAAGAATACATACCAATCAGTTTAGGTTATTGTAAGTGCAAAAATAAAAATAAAAATTATGTTTAAAATATTAAAAATTTAGATAATAGATTTACCCATCATTTTTAATTAGCTATTTTTCTCATGCAATTTTTTAGAATAAATAAATTGTCAAACATATGCAGCTTAAGAAACACTGTGTATTGACATAGTTAAAGGAGGTGTTTAATTATTAGGATTAAAAAATATAATTTGACAATTTAATTAAAACCAAACTAATGTTTTATATAAAGTTAAATTATTTTACTTATATCATATAAATATATCGATATTATTTACTATTACATAAGTACAAAAATATATATTTTAAATAAATAGAAATAATATGGTGATATATATATATATATATATATATATATATATATATCAGTATATGCATAAGTGTAGAATATGTTTATTTAATATTAAGCAAAATAGATTAATTTTTTTACTTAATTTGATGCCTAATTCATCAAGTGTCGTATCAGTCGTGGTTCACAGTTTTTAACTTTATATGTAATTTTAGAATTTAGATAAATAATTTATTTTTATTAGATTGACAACATACCAATTAGATTTGAATAAATATCATTTTTACAAGAATACATACCAATAACTTTAGGTTAATTCACCCATCATTTTTAATTAGCTATTTTGCTCACGCAATTTTTTAGAATAAATATTGATATGCAGCTTGAGAAAACATTAACATAGTTAAAGGAGGTCGATTAAGTTATTAGGTATTTATAACATCCTACAAATCAAATTCAGTATAAAAAAAATAATAGGTATCTCAAAGTGACGGAAAAATTAGAATTGAGATATAATTAATGAGTGAGCAACCCAAAATTGAAGCCACAAATAATTATATCCAAGCCTAATTCCAAAGAAAGATTGTTTGCCAAATAAGATGCCGAAACATGAGAATTTGTCACATAGGCTTAGCGTATTCTAAAATTATATATAATAAAAGGGATGGTGTGTGGAGAATTAATCTATATTTTTTTTTTCGCAGTTGGAAAATAAAAATATCCAACACAACTATTCAATCTTGTTTTGCATTCATAATTAATTAATTAAATAAATAAACAATTGCGTCCTAGCAACATTTATGAGGATTTGGGCAATAAGTGTGGGCAATAATTAGTTAAATTAGTATTCGACCTGTGCATTTGCACAGATATAAATAAATTATTATGAGTCTGTACATATAATGATTAATTATTTTTCTTTCACTTTTTTGCAGACCAAATTTACAATTAAAAGAGTTGGAATGTTTTTTTTTAATTGCCTTTATCTGATTGGATGTAATGTATATTTTGGTACGTCTTTTATTTGTGAATTATTTATTATTTATTTAGGAATTTCAAATATATTTTTTATTTAAAAAAATAAAAATTAAATGTAACAACAATAATAACATCTAATCACATTATACGGTCAACACATTATATGGTCAACTGTCATTAATTAATAGTTTAAAATGATTTTTGTAATTTTGAAGTGATGAGTATTAATTATTTAATGATTAAATGAAAGATTAAATACATCAAAATGTAACGGTTTTTGGAGGAAAAATTGTTAAATTGCCACATAGGTAAAATTAAATAGGTTTTATTAAATTCTATTAGCTAGTAATTATATATATATATATAGATAAATAATCTATATGAGAATTTGGGCAATAAATAATTAGTAATCTACATAATTTATTAACCTAGAAATAATTAGTAGTCTATATAGATTAAATAAATAATCTATATGAGGATTTGGGCAATAAGTCGGTTATTAATAATTAGTAACACTCAACTAATTCAATTACATCTTTTGGATTTGGGCAATAAGTTTTACAACAGCTAATTAACAGAGGTGAGGATTGATAATTTGGAATCAAGATTTTTCAAAAAGACTAGGCGCGACGTGTGCGACGCACGAGATGATATATTCTACTAACTATTCAAAATATTCAGTATTAAAATTAATAGAATTGATATATATGTAAAAAATTAAACGGGTCAAAAAAAATATAAATTATTGAACATTTCCTTGTATACAACATTTTTTGTTTGATTTGTTAGCGAGTCATATCACCACAGACCTTAATGTATAACTACCCATGACCTAAAATGACTTCTTAAGAAACAAACCAACATGCGTTAACGGTTGCCATAACTCTTGTTTACACTCATGGCGTATATGAAACCATAATTGGAAAATGTCGCCGCTGGAACAGAGAGAAACTCTGACATTGGAAGAAGTTATAATCATTCTAGGAATTAACACCTTCTCGCCTGTGTGATCCGCTGTGAGTATCTTACACTCGAGAGAATGAGTAGAGAGTTTTGTCACAACCAACTGTGTTTCATTACACAAATTTATAAAACAATCCATATTCCGTAACAACATGACATGAGTTTCAATCTTTAAATACAATTTCAGAACATTTTATACTATTCAAGAAATCGGGCGTGTGGAGATCAGACATATAAAATTGTTATTAGAGTTTGACTTGCGAGTACTATATCGAAACTTAAGTACGTATGACCATCAGATAAATTCAACGATGTCATGTGCTCATTGAGTCTTCCAGTGTCATTCCTAACATAGTCTTGTCCTTCAAATTACTGGGATCATCGGGTATCTGTTGCTTAGACATTAGATACATGCTTTCAATGATTTGAGCAATCAGATCATCAGATGGCTTAAACTTCAACAAATTTCTGAATTGTGGATCGATACAACCCAATGTTTGAATCAACTTAATAGTTACGAACAACATACATTTGGCCTTCTTTAATTTTTTTTTTTCTATATTTTGGGAGGTTAACTGAACAAATAATCCCAGTTATACGTCTACCCTACATAATCAAAGAACATGAAGCACACGCTAATAAAATGTAATATAGCCTTTAAATAAAATAACTATATCTAAAAATATGATAAACAGTAGAACAAAATTTACCTCTTTATCATGAAAAATAATTTTCAATACGTTCCTTTATCTGACATCAAATTTGCGTTCAAATACGCGGACAAACCTCAGTTTTAAATATGGTTTATCTATACGACAAATTGACTTAAGAGAACCCCACACTAGTGGCATTTTAATATTTTGAAAATATTGCAATAATTATGAACTTAATATTTTGTGAAAGAAGTGTTATAAATAATTGAGTTATGGACCCTGTTTATAGATAATATTTTATCAGTTAGTCGGTGTGTGTTGTAGAATAGGAAATAAATTATTATAGATTTGATGATTAACACTCCAACACATTTTTTAAATTTGATTTGTTATATTCATTTTTTTATATGATTGTATTCTATAGGTTAAGTAACAAATCATGAAAGTTTTTCAAATGAATATCACAATCCGATTTCTTTAGGTTATTGTTATTATTTATAAATCTGCAAGTTTTTAGATGCAAGTAGTATTTCTATTTATTATCCTGTAGTTAGATAATTACTCGACGTTTACTTATTTCTACTACATATTTAGAAGTAACAAGTATGTACATAACTCATACAGTGCACGAGATAATATATTCATAAATCCTATAAATTAAACAATGATACAAAATTCACTAACAAGTCAAATAATTTTGAATATCAATATTAATCCATATTTATTTTTATTTTATGATATATAATAGTTTAGTATACGATATAATTTTTCGACGAAAAGGTGTATTTCGATTTTTTCAACTTCTAACTTTTTCCAACAATTTGTTTTTTGGACGAAAAGGTATGTGCGGTGAGCGAAGAAAACATCTTAATGGTTCCGTTTAATTTCCAGTTCTATGATAGCTAAAACTAATTATTGAAAAAAAAAAATAGATAAATAGAATAGAAAAAAGCTCAATCAATAACACTTTCTCTGCATATCCAATTAATGGTTAATAGTAAAACACAAACATTAGTTCAAATTTCATTTACATATCCAATCAACGAAGGCCACGCACCAAGAAAAAAGGCTGAACACACAGCGACCTCTCACGGAGCACCACACGTCATCATCTGCAATTAATTGGACAAAGATATAAAAGTAAAAATAATAATATTAATAATAGATAATCTAGTCATTTTCAAACTGCTAATAAACAAATAAAAAAATAAATAAATCTTGGCCATACATACATCACTAGTGCCTGTAGGCCCTTTCTTACCAATAAACGTTTCAAATGGTATCAATTAAGTCACGCTGGGCTTCTTGCATATATATATACACACACACAAAAATTGCCTTTATTTTCATGTAACATTTGGAAAGAGTGTGCATTTTTTTTTTTTTTTTTAATTCTATTTCCAGCAAAAAAATGTGGTCTCCGAGTTTATTTTCCCATGCTTTGCTGAATTTCATTCTTTATTATTTTATGTTGATTTTTTTCTCAAAGGCTGCTGAGGCTCGAAACAGCTCGGTTCCCGCATTGTTCGTGTTTGGAGATTCTACAGTTGATTCGGGCAATAATAACTACATTAGAACTATCAGTAAAAGCAATTTCCCGCCATACGGAAAGGATTTTCCGGGTAAAATAGCCACCGGAAGGTTTTGCAACGGCCGGCTTGTCCCCGATTTTCTAGGTAATTAATTAAGTCAGTGGTTTTTGCTGGTCATTTAAATTAATTTTGTATATATTTTTTTTTTAAAAAAAAAAAAGGAAAAGAAATTTCTAAGGATTAAGGTGATTTATTTTGATTGCAAACATTACATATTTTGACATGGCTACATGCATAAGTTTTAATTAACTATTAGCCCAGTAAGACTTTTTGGGTTTGTTCGCTATGAAATGGCAAAAACTACTTGTGTCCCATTATATTTGTCGAAATATTATTTGTGAATTGAATCAAATTGATTTTATCGTGAAAATAAACTTAGTTTAAAAGCATAGTGGAACACTTCTTCCATCACTGATTGACCACATAATTAATGTTGATAAAAAGCATCCCATTTTTATTTCTAATTCAATTTATTATTTTCTCTCCAAAAAATAAAGTAGCATGCTTTTAATTAAATTAGCGTACATATTCAGGTAGCTTGTAATGTAGATAAATATAATAAAATAGTATTATTAACAATTTATTTATTTATTCATTTTTTTGTGGTATATTTATATTATTTAATACACATGATAAATTTTAGAAACAAAATGACAAAATGACTTATATATTCATAACAACCTATTTATGTGATTTATGACTTATATAGTTAGTTGACTTGAATCGTTGTAACACAATAATTAGAGCTAATTAATCAGCCATTAAGTGAGGTTTCACTTGCTTGTATATAGCAAGGGTCCACATTTAAATAAAAGCGTCAAGTCTTAACAATAATCATTTAAACTATGTGGCGGGTTGCTAAATGAAGTCGTGTGTTTGTGTTGTCCACTGGGAACAAGGTCTTGTATGCATTACTTTTGTCCAAATCAAATTAAATTTCATTTTGGCGGTTAAAATTAAAAGCGCTAGCATTTTAGTTAGACATGTGCAAAACTAATAATTTGTTTTAACAGTTTCGTACGCCGGTATAAAAGACTACGTGCCACCGTACTTGGACCCTACACTTAGCCTCGACGAACTCAAAACCGGAGTTTGCTTTGCCTCTGCCGGAACTGGATTTGATTCCCTCACGGCTCAAATAAGCGTCTCTCTCTCTCTCTCTCTATATATATATATATATATATAGTGTGTGTGTGTGTGCATGTATGTGTGCCACATGTGCGTGCTTATCTGTCAGTACTTGTGTGCGTGCATGCTTTTCAAAAATTTTTGTATACAAAAATTTTCACTCAATGTGTATTTTTTTGGTTAACTAAAATTAATTTGGAAAAAGATTGTATAGTTAGTTGTTATTGGGATTTTGAATTTATATTAAAATTAATAATATTTCAAATAAAATAATTAAAGTTGATTTGATTTAAAAATAAGAGAGAGATGATATGAAGTGATTGTTAATTAAAGTTATGTGAGTGGATAAATAGTGAATTAAAGTAAATGTGATGTGTAAGAATGATTGGATGGTATTATTTAACTATATTGATAATATTGAGGATATTGGATTGAGTTAAAGTTGAGTTAGAATTTGAGTTGAATGAAATTTTTGATGAAAAATTTTGTATACAAACATGCTCGAGTGGATGAAAATATACATCGAGTATTGATCTATTTCTTTTTTTCTTTGGTTATCCAAGATTAGTTTTGAAAAAGTTCGTTAGTTAGTTTTTAGTGGAATTTTAAGTTTTTAATAATATAATATTTAAAATAAATTGATTAAAGTTAATGTGATGTAAAAGTATGAGATAAGTGATTAGAAATGATACGTAGTTAAAATTTTATGAGTGGATGAACAGTGAATTTATGGTGATATGATGTGTGAGAATGATTGATCGATATTATTTTAATTATATTAGTAATAATTAAACTTGAGTTAGATTTTGAGTTAGAATTAAATTTGAGTATGAATATATCTACATCCACTCTCGCCTTAAAAATATCAATTATTATTGTCATAATAATGAGGTGCATCGTGCATATATATCAAATTTTATGTAGGGTTTAAAATGCATCAAGGGAAAAAAAAAATGTAAAGAAATTTTTCCTCTCAAATTATAATCATTTTTTTGACGTCATGTAATGTAAAAACTCACATCTACTTTCATTCTAAACTACTTCCCCTTCAATATATTCAATTCTATTTTAGAAAATTACAAATCATCTAATAGTAATGTTTATAATTTTCATGAAAAGCATTAATAGATTTAAATCAGCCAATTTGGGATTGCATGCAGGATGGAGTAATCACTATACAAAAACAATTGAAATATTTCAAAGAGTACAAATCAAGAATGGAAGTCTACATTGGCAAGGAGAAAACAAGAAGCCTAATAAATAAGGCTGTGTTCCTAATAAGCGCTGGCACTAATGATTTTATTCTGAATTATTTCGGACCACCGATTAGAAGCAAGACTTACACCATCTACTCTTACCAGGAATTTGTTTTACAGCTTTTCCAACAATTCCTCCAGGTACAGTTAATTCTTTCACATTTTTTTTTTTTTTCTCTTTTTCAAATTAGTTATACATTAATTAAAACCTATAAATACATTAATCGAACAATTTTTTTTTTTCGGTTATCTACTACAGTGTTCACCAACAGACACATTTTAAATCATAAAAAACTATATTAATATTTAATATAGAGTTCCTTCAAAAATAAGATAAAGAGATAGGGAGAGAGAGCCCACAAATTGATAGTATGCATCTTATAGGTATACATATCAATCTATTAATAGGATATTTAGATATATCATCTTTCTTTATATATAATTCTCGAATGTGCTGAGTATAAGTGGCAAGTTCGTGTGCTTCTAAATCCTATTTGTCATAATTCTATGTTTTGAATTGGTATATAATTAAGTTAGGGTGTTATATCAAATGTCAATTAGGCATGGTTATTTCCATAATATATTAAATAATTTTTTTCATTGAAACAATCATTATTTATTCCATTCTATATTTTTCTTTCATAGTTACCTTAATACTTTTCTTTTTGTATTCATTTTTTTTTCTATTACATATCTTCACTAAATCAATCATATTAATTCTATTTATTTATCAATATTTCTCTCTAATATTAATATTTTACTTATTTCAAAATTGGCATGTTGTCAATCTAATAAAACTAATATTATTAATAATTTATCCAAATTCTAAAATTACATATAAAGTTAAAAAAATATGAATCAAGACTGATATGACACTTGATCTATTAGGCATCTAATCAAGTGAAAAATTAATCTTTTTTTTACTCAATATTCAACAAACATATTTTATATTTATGCAAATACATATCACCATATTATTTCTGTTATTTAAGATATATATTTTTATACTCATGTAATAGTAAATAATATTGATATTCTCATATAATATAAGTAAAAAAAAATAAATATGAGTTGACATTTTCATTTAATATACAGGTTTTTAGCTATTATGATTAAATATTATATTCTAACAATTTAATTAAAACACAAATAGATGTTTTATATAAAATTAAATGAGTTTCAAAATAAAAGCTTTAATATTTTTTATTTATGCTTCTTAACGGGTATTATATAAGTAACATAATATATTTGAAAATATTCTTCAATGTCATATATCATAGATATAGATGTAAAATAAATTAATAGGATTATAAATAGCAAAAAAATTAAATTCAGTTATAGATAGATCAATTTATATGGTCAGTATGAGTGCCGATGCGTTATCTATAATGGAAGAATTCATAATATTTGAGAATGAAAACGTGGTGGCATAACAAGCACCATTGTTCTTCTGTGATGATGGTTGAAGCCGACGAGTAGTTGTTTTAAGAAGCGTAATTTTCATATTTATGGCTTACAAGGTCAGCTGGTGGGCACGTGGTATTTATAAATTGGCGGTGTATATATCGAGTGAAAATAATACTAGTACAGTCTGTACAGATACGATAAACGACTAACTGAAAATATAAAAAAAATGAATAAATAAATGCAAATATTTGAATTTACTGAGACTTCACCTTTGTACAAGCTAGAAAAAATTAAAATAATCGAACTCAACCAGTCTAAGTTAAGCATTTCGAGCTCCTGTTCAACTATCTTCGAATAATATTTATGTTGGTTCATTTATTATTCGGTGAAAATTCGTCTTCGAGATCATATCTTATAACTGTTTCTCAATGTTCGATATCACTTTGTTCGAAAAAATTATTAAAGCACAAAAATAAAAAAATACCAAAATATTCATTTTTATTAAAAATATTATACTCTTAAATAAAACAAATTAAACAATAGCGAAACGAGACTAATTAATTATTTGAGTTCGACTCACTAATAAATTTTTTTTTTCGAACATGAATGAGCTGGAATGTCCTTGTCTTGTAAGCTCATAAGATTGTGACTATCATAGCCCTCTTTTATTTTTCGTTTTTTATTTCAAAACTTAATTAATAAAAAAGGAAAACGGAATCACTATTTTGGACAGGGACTAATAAACATGGGCGCCCGGAAGATTGCTGTTGTGGGGCTTCCACCCCTTGGATGCGTGCCAGCTGTCATCACCTTGAAATCCAACCATCCGTTTGATCGTCGGGGGTGCATCGACAGCCTGTCAGCCGTCGCACGGGATTACAACCGCTTGCTCGTGAATAGATTGACGGCCGTCCAATCTAACGGCGTCATGATTAAATACATCGATGCGTACAAACCATTAGTCGATATGGTTACAAATCCCCAACAATTTGGTAAGCTAAAATTATTTCAACTAACCCGATGTACGGAATGCGATTAATACATGAAATTTAGAGTACATAAATAAATAAACTTGGGATATAAATAAAATAATTTTTTTTATTTCCTGAAAAATTAATAATATTTATTTTTATTATATATGTTTTGAAGGTTTTGAAAAGGTGGGTTACGGTTGCTGTGGGAGTGGATTAATAGAGCTTTCAATTTTGTGCAATGAACTCTCTCCGGTTTGTTCGGATCCCTCTAAGTATGTGTTTTGGGACTCCGTACACCCAACTGAAGCCGCTTACTATAAAATCTTCGAGTCCTTGCTCCCCGTGATTAATCAGTTTCTAAAATAAAAATTATTTTTCGTTAATAATTTATCGATAATAATTTCTATCTTTTATCCATCTGTTTGATTAATGTTTATTTTCATATTTATATGTTCGCTTGTAACTTATGTTGAATAAACAACCGTCTCATTGTTTGTGTAATGTGTATTATGTTAAATTGATTTACCCATTAATTAGGCCGTACTCTTAGAACAAATTTATATACTTTAATTAAAAGATACCGTACTTCGAAAACAATATAAATAAATATATGACATGATTTGATATTATGATTGTATATTTTTATACATATAATTTAGAGATTGGCATGTTTTGGACTCGTCATGTGTTTATGAACAAGCAAATTGCAGCATAGATGCCGTATATACGAGCAGTCGACCAATTGGTGACTGAAGATTTTTTTTATTGTTGGATCAATATACATATATATTTTTATATTGATTGAGTATTTATTGATCCAAATGTTTAAAAAGATAAATTACTCTACAAGTTGAAATCAAAGATAGATAGATATAGGCTGTCTTTGTCATGTCACAGTCGCTTCAACAATTCCCAGTTATTTGGAGGGAGTTAATACAACAACAGTAATATATTACTAGTAATTAGTTGATATTAGTCAATTATTTCCAACAAAAATATTTAGTTCATACATATAATTTTTTTTTTTTTTTTTTT